CCACCCTTCACCCAGCTGGAGCGGTCCCTATGATTCTTGCCTCCTAGCTCCAGGAGCTCCTGCCCCTCTGGCTGCTGGCAGGGCCCTGCCAACCTGGCCTCAGCCCTGGGCTTTGAGGGCCAAGCCCTGCCCCTTCCGGCCAGCTGACTCTCCTTAGTTGCCCCGGCAACCCGCAGCTGTGCTCGTTACCCTGGCAACCCTCAGCTGGGCTTGTTATGTCCTGCCAGGGCTCTCTCTCTCTCCCTGGCAGTTTCCACTCCCTAGAAGCAGAGCACCCCAGTGCTCTGCGACACACACATTTGCCTTTTGGTTGCAGAGGGGCAAATCTTAGACTGGGTTGTGCTATTTTTTAAACCAGTCTCTGTGTGCTGAACTTCTTTTATGGGTATAGACCAGTTTCTGATCACTTATATCAGTAGAAGTATAATGTTTGTACCTGGCCTTATAGCTTTTCTCCAGTCTTACCATCACTTAATAGTTCTATGTGTTTTCAAATTTTTTACCCCAGATAAAATTCTTGTTCTTAATTAGAAAGTGTTCTATGATTGTAATGACTGCAGGTTCTTTTCTCTTCCTTCCCCAACCACCTTATTCTCTTTTTCCCTTGTAAAAATAAATTAGTGACAATAGTAGAAAAATATATTTAATGACTTTGCCACTGATTCAGGAAAGTAGGACTGTATTTAAGCACATACTTAAAATCAAATATGTGTATACTTATCATTAAGGTCAGTGAAACTTAAAATGTTAAGGATGGGCTTAAGTATACCTGTCAGTAGAGGCCTAATATTGATACACCAGATTTCATTTATACAAACCCACTTGGTCAAAATCCTGGTCACACTGAAGTCTATGGGAATATTGTCATTGACTTCAGTAGGTCCAAGGATTCACCTGGAGAGCAGTATTGAGATGGTGCTTGTGTAGGGTACTGTCACAGGGCACCTAGGGGTGCCTGCACCTTTAAGAGTAGAAACAGCTTAGCCAAAGGAGCCTGGCAGGCTACACAGAGTCCGGCAGCTGCAGGTTGCCTGAGTAACAGGCTAACAATGTAATTTGCTGGCATCTGCAGGCGGTCAGCTGACTGGAAGGAGTCAGAGCTCAGGGCACATATAAGCTCAGGGATGAGGCTAGCCGGGGGGCATGCTCTCTTTGGCAACTGCCAGAAGAAGGAGCACAAGAGCAGGAGCACAAGAGAGCAGCCCCATACATTTGGGTGCCTGCTTTGCCATCCCCAGACACAGTAAGACTCTAGGGACTTACAAGGTGCCCTGAGATAATACAGGCTGGTATTCTAAGTGGGGGAGTTGGCCCTCTTAAAGGGGCAGGTTCCTGCCATTATTGTTAATGTTATGTTGTAGCCCAGGGGCTTTGGTTTGTGTTATTGTTTGCACCGGTGGACCAGGAGGAGGCTAATAGGGGAGAAGGAGGCCTCATTGGGGGCACACAATTGTGTAGAGCCCCAGCACCAGAGGGGTTCAGTCTCAGGGGCTGCAGAGAGCCCAGCACCAGAGGAGTGCAAGCTGCAAGGGCCAGGGCCAGGGGCCCAGTAATAAAAGGACTTTGTGGGCTAGTGCCTCAAATCCAGGTCCAATACAGTGGGTGTAAGCTGGAAGACCTAGCTATATCAAAGGGGCGGAGTTCGAGTCGGTCAAGGCCCCAACAGAGCATAAGAGCAATGTAATGCCTGCAAGGCATGGGGCATGGTAAAGGGGTGGTTGGAGCCACTTATTTGGCCCATAAGGCCTGAGGTGCCTTGTACAGCACTATATTGAAGAGAAGCCTGGCAAAGGGCCTAGAGATCAGAGAGCTTGAGTAAGGTTCAGTGATCCAGGACTAAGTGAAGGCATCCTCCCGTTATTTTTCCATCAAAGACATGGCAGGAGAGATAAGAGGGCACCCTCATGGCAGAGCTTGCATGGTCACATGAGCCGTCAGGGGCATCATGACAGGTACTCAACTGACCTGTTCAAAGAAAGGTGGCCCAAGTAGGAGGAATTAGGGGTTTTGTCTTTGGTTTGTTTTTTGGTTTTTTTTTTTTTGAGAGAGAATTTGTATAAAGGTATGTGAACAATATGTGTGCTTACTGGAATTCAAAACTTATATTGCTTACAATGCTTGTCATGTTCTCTTTTAATACTTGAATAAGAAATTATTTGCAGTGTCAATAAGACTTTTTATGGTTAGTAACTTTTTATTACTAAATTGTTTTTGAATGATGTTTTATTAAGTAAGTCCCTCGGAAGAAATGTTGCTCCATATGCATATTGAAGTAGGCTAGTTAATGTAGGTAGATATACTGCAAAATCTGTGCTCAAAAAATTAAAGAAGGTAACTTACTGTGTATATTCACCACCTGGCTATCACAGTCCTAAACCATGATGTGCTTGAAGTCATTCAGTTTGGAATAAAAAGGAACACATTCTTTGTCCAGGGAATGTGACACAATTGAAGCTGAGAAAATAATTTGATTTTAGAGAAATGAGAAAAGCTGCAGAATTTTTAACAGTTCAAAAATGTCATGAGCTGATAAAACTGAGAATGGATGAATAAATATTTAACATTCCAAAATGATTCTTTATTTTGATTATGACCAAAAATGAGATACTTCATCCCCATAGGTTATTTATTAACAAACTGAGGAACTGGTAAAAAGGGATCAGAATGGGAATGGGGAGGGTGGGGGATACAGAGGGTGAAGTCATCTTAATTTAGGTCCCTCCTGGACTTATGCTACCTGAACCATGTGATAGTACTGTGATGAAAAAATTATACTAATTCATAATAGAGTGCAGGTTATTTCTGTCCTCTGGGTTTTACAGCCATGGTTCAGTTTGGTCTTGCATTTTACAGAGGCCTTGAGCCATTATTGTAATACACGTAAGTAGTAAAGTAATAGAAACAAAGTGTTCTGTTTTGACAATTTTTTGTGCATTTTCCTCTCATAAGGCGATTGAAGAACAGCAAAGCATCTACTGATGGCCATCGGTATCTCTTTCGAGGCAGAATAAACACAGAGGTGATGGAAGTAGAGAATGTAGATGATGGTACAGGTGAGTATATTTGCCCTTGTCAGTTATAACCTACAGAGCCTGTTCTTGTCAGCTCCAAGCAGCTCCTGTGAAGTGTGAGTGATTTTCATTGGCATTCTGTGGGAGAAGAGAGTGCTGATTTACAGGAAATTAAGATAGGGGCAGATTGTTCCATTAACACTGTACTTCTGAAATGTATCATTGGTTTCATACATTATTTTCTGGGCAGTCACTGTTCTAGCCAGCCATTCACAGATGACTGCCTTAAACTAGCAACAATCATTATGATGATGAAATGCTAGGCTGATATTTATTTCCTTGCCTAAGATAGTGTATGTCACTTCTGTATATTTTATATGGGACATATCTGTTTATATAACTCGGAAAAACAATTTTGAAAGTTACATGCTGTAATTGCAGCATAATACGTTTTTAGAAGACTTATCTTAAAAAATGTAGTGCATAGAGTGGGATAAAATATTACCTGATTTCACTTTTAAAAAATTGAAACTGAAAACTGAAAATATTTTGGTAAAAAAATTGGCTTTCAAACTAAAATTTTAATGGAAAGCCTGACTTTTTTTTCCCCCTCCAAAAAACACCACCCCAACCTCATTCTAGACACTTCGATTTGCTTGTTTCATTCTTGAAGTTTGATTTGCAAAATTGATAAACTCACCTAAGGCCTTATCAGTGTCATGCAGAGAGGAACAGTTACTTCCCTGGTCTTTGCATATGACTAGGGGTCTCCTTAACTTGCCATTAGACTTATCAATTTTCATGCATTGTTTGTGGCAGAAAGAGCAAATTCTGCAGCCATTTTGTGAATGTGCTCTGGTGGCCTCACCCATCAACGCTGATTGACAGAGAGGTTCCAGGGGGAGGAGGGACTAGGGAGTGGCTGCCATCTTGACTGTTGGCTGCCTTTTTATGCAGCTCTGCCTCTTGGTGTTGATTGGCAAAGGTGCTCCAGGATTGGGGGAGAAGGGGCAAGGGGGCAGTGGCCATCTTTGCTACTCTTCGTGCTGTCCCGCCAGCCAGTGCCTTCCCCTCCTGGGTGGGCTGCAGGGCAGAGCTGCAGTGGTAGTGACGATTACTGGCTTCCATTGGGGAGCCAGCATTTTATTTTTATTACGATTTTTTGTTGTTGTTGTTTCACAGGCAAGCCAGGATTTTGTGGTTTCTGTGAAATCTGCAAAACGGCAATTTAAGTAGACCCCTACGTGTGACATGCTTGCTAATACTTCCCCAAATGTCGCTTGTCCTTTTTGGTTTCAGCAGCTTTGCACTGGCCCCTTATTCAGTTTGTTTTCCATTATATGCATCCCAGCTCCTTTTCTACTATTCTGCTTCTTGCCAGCTGTGATTTTCCTCTGTGAGTGTAATGCTTGGTACTTGCCTATACTGAATTTCATCTTATTGAATTCAGACTGTTTCTCCATTTTATCAAGACCACTTTGAACTTAAGTCCTGTGCTCTACAGTGCTTTCAGGCACTCCCAGTTTAGTGTAATCCACACATTTGATAAACGTACTCCATTATCCAAATAATTCATAAAAATACCAAATGGTGAGTAGGGACAGATCCATTGGGGTGGGGTGATGTGGCTGCTCTATGTCATAGTGTTCCTGGATCTGCTCATGATGATCAGAGTCCTATAACATACCCTCAGGATCTCAGGATCTCAAGTTATGTAATCTCCTAGTTTGATTGTAAACTGTTGGTAACTATTCTTTAAGTATCTCTTTTCACCTAGACTGCATTTTTCTACTCTTCTTATGAGACTGTTATGTAGGACTGTATCAAAGATCTTATACAGAAGTTGGGATGCATCACATCAACTGTATTTCTCATATCTGCTAAGCCAGTTTGCCTGGGAGGAGCAGGAGATTACATTAGTTTGGCATGACATGTTTTTAACAAATCCATGTTGGCTGTGTCTTATCACTTTATTAGTCAGTGATTCTCAACCAGGGTGCTGTGGCAGCCTTTGAAGGGTGATGCTGGGAGAGAGGAGATAAGCACAGTCTCTAGTGATGAGATAAATGTAGGCTCTTCCTTTCCAGCTGCTCCTCCTCCCCCGACGCATTGCAGTGCAGGTGCTTCTGCCCAGCTGCTCCTTGTCCTTCCTAGCCTCTCTACAAGCAGATTAGCACTATAGTAAATACATTAGTTTTTTAAATGGGGTGTCCCTCAATTCACAAATGTTATGAGAGCATTATAAAACCACTGTTCTAGGTGCTATACATTGATTATTTAATTATTTGTTCCACTATCTTTTTTGGCATTAAAATTAGGATGACTGCTCTATAGTTCTCTATGAATTCTTAATAATAATAACTTATGGATCAGAGATTGCTTCTACTAATTCCTTTTGTACTGTAGAGTAAAGTTTATCAGGCCTTGCTGATGTGAATAAATCTAGCTTCTCTGATTTCTTCATATTGTTCTCTTTTCTGTCTTGTATGCCCAACCCTCATTGCTGATTTTTATTGTGGTAAACATCTGGTCAGAATTAATACTTTTTGTTAAAAACAAAAACAAAGCAGAAATGGCTCTGAACATTTTGGCCTTTCCTGTGTCTATCTGCTGTTTGCGCAGCCCAAATGTTTTTCTCATCATTTTCATCCTATGGGTAAATTTACTTTCTCATATGATCTCTCATTCACTGGTGTGTTGAAGACTATTCTGTCATGCTTCCCAAACCATGATTTTTTCCCTTCCATTTCTTCAAGTCTCTTAAAAAATGTCCTCCCCTTTCATTGTCTTGTCTTGGATATCATACTGGCTCTTCAAGCTGAATTTAGGGTACATACAGACATTGCAGGAGGTTAGGGGGACGTTAGATTGAGTTAAAAATGGCCACCTGTTCTAAGGTAAATTGGGATGGGGGAGTGATTAGGGGGCTTGGAGAGAATTGTGGGGGAAAGTGGGGTCTGAGGGTGCTACACTGGAAATTGTACAGAAGTTCAGTTAGATCAGGCCCAGTGAGACCCATTTAAGTTAGCCTATCTCGGAGGTACAGTTAACTTAGATCAGGTCAGCCATGTTTAGACTGATTTAAACTTCCTGAACTTCTGTACAGTTCTCACTTAGAGCTAACAAAGTAGGGATCTAAGATTAAGGTCTGCACCTGGGCAAACTAAGTTAGATTGGATGGCCATTTTTAATGCAATCTAATGCAATTTTAATGCAGTTTAATGCAGTCTAACCCTAACCTCTCTGAATGTCTGTATGTACCCTTAGTTAGACACAAGTATTCATTTTTATTCTCATATGGTCACCCAGTCTCTTTCTCAGTTCCGAAAACCACAGTAAATGTTATCTCCTTTGTCACTTCAGACATATAGCTTGGGCTTACCTCTCCTTCTTCCTTTCCTCATTTAACAAATCTTATTACTTTTGTCTCTGACATTTCCAAAATCCACTTCTACCTTTTTTCCTAGGCCTATGACACCAGATTTCACTGTTGATTTTCTCTCTCATTCCTGGATTACAGTAAATTTACCTCTTTTCCTGAATCCCTGACTTCACCCTCCCTTTCATTAATTTTACCGGTGTGCTAAAATATTCTTTCTTTCCTGCCGTTTTTGCCTATCACTCATTCCTTGTATCCTCTTACTGGATCTCCATATGATGTTGAAAAGCCAAAGCTTCATTTCCAGGTCCCTAGACAGAGCTCTTTTCCTGACAGTACTTGCAGTTCTTTTTCCTATATACATCCTTTCTTATAATTGATATTGGGCTACTTTGTTGTGTGCCTTGATATACATCCTTTCTTCCTTGCCCAGTCATGTCCTTATGCCTTTTTACAAAGTGTTCCCATGTCTTTCAGTGTATCCAATCCATCCTTTTTTGATGCCTTTCAGTGCTTTATCTCTAACCCATTTTATTTATCTTGCTTTCTACAGCTGACCTCTTGCTTGGTGCTATATATTTCTGTCTTTTGCCATGTGTTATTCCCAAATGTAATGACACGTTCTTTCAAAATTCATTTCATTCACATTGGTTGTGCATTGGGAATTAAATTATTTTTTCCCTTTATTAATCAATGGCCGTCATTTTCTCAGGTTTTTAATTTAGTTTGAAAGTGAAAGGGAACATGGCTCTTGTTTCTTTTGTTTCTATAAATCACCATACAAACATATCAGGTAAAAACAATAAAGGCTAGTAGAGTTCTAGGTGATTTCTTTTTCAGATCTTCTGATGGGCAATATTTTTGGTGTGCAAGGCTTAAATGGACAACCTTGTTCTTTTCAGATCATGGGGGTCAGATTCTCATCTGGTGTAAACTAACATACCTCCCTTGACTTCATTGGTGTATCAAGTGGTTCTGGAGGAGTTGGTAACTGAGAACTTTCTAGTGGGATAGTTTGATTGACCGATGGAGAAAGATAGTGTCATAGTCTTCATTGTTGTAAGTAGAAGCAAAGGCTTCTGAAAGAGAGGTTCATGGGTAAAAGTTATTGTAATGCAAATGACAAGTCTGAGGAAATTAATACTTTTTCTAAAAAGCTTTGGTTTTTTTTCTTTGATGAAGCTAGGTTTGGGCTGAGCAGCACAATTTATAGAAGCTTTTCATTTTGTTTTTGCTTCAAAAATCATGAGCCACGGTGTCGGTTTTCTGATTATACTGATTAGAGTAGAATGTACATTATTTGTCATTTTAAGGTTTGTATGGTCTGTCTTTTATACAGTTTTTAAAAAAAATGTTTTTAAATATGTTTGAAAACAGGTAAATACATACAATACAAATGATGTTAAAGGAATATTATTGAGGCTTCATGCACATGGAAGTTAGGAAATGCCAGATGTATGTTTGTTTACACAATCTTAATTCCTCTCCCTCCTCCCTTACCCCAAAGTGTTCATGCTGTTAACTATACCCTCACCCTCCCACAAAAAAAACAACCAGTCAGTTGTCATGCAGCTAAAGACTGTGTGCACATACATTGAAGGGGTAGAATTAATCATGTGCAGGCAATCTTATATTTAGAGTTTCCTAACAGTGTTTTACAAATGTTTGCTACTTTAATTTTATTTAAAATAGTTTCTATAAAATGTCATGATCTTTTCCTCAAGAAAAAAAAAATTATGTACAGTCGTAGGAAGTCACTTATTATGTATCCCAAATCTTCAGCAACACAGCCCAGGGCTCTATCAGTGAAGTTGAATGGAAGGTTGTTATTTATGTGCTGGATTTGGACAGTAGATAAAAGGCTGCATGGTTCATTCAGGATTATTTTCTCTCCAGTTCTGGTTGGGAGTTGAGAGAGTTCAGTCCAGAGTGGGGAATATGGGCCTTAAGGGCTAACTATTCAATGTGGGGATGTCTGGGAAAGAATCAGCCTGGCTCAACTCTCCTATCTTCTGGTATAGCTGTTCAGCCAGTACTTTTCAATAGTTTGCTACTGCTATTGCTGTTTTTGGTGGGACCAGTGATATAATGTTCATATTTAATTTAAATATTATTTTAATCATGCTGCCAAGAGAAAGGAAAAATCCAAAATAAAGGAAATAGTGATATCAGCAATTTATTGCTCAGCAAGACTTGAATGGAATTATATGAGAAAAAGAAAGGGCATTTCTCTACCACACTTTTCCATTTTTTCAAATTTCAAAGACTTCTGCAAAAGGAAGTTAGAGTTTCTTAAAAAGATACAAGAATCATCTGTAATGGTAATGTTAGGCAACTTGGATTATAGGAGCTTCTACCAGCTCCCAGTCTAACAGATTATTAGTTTCTGGTTATAATACCAGTCCGGTACTTTGAAAACTTGGATTCTCTTTTTTGGCTGTGCTGTAGAGTTCCTGCATGACCTTTGGATAACCACATGGGCTGCTGACAGATGTGAAAAATAAATAAAAAATGTGCTTTACTGGAAGAAGCAGCAGGGTAGTTCGACTTGGCTCTAGTGTCTGTATAGATCGCACACTTTAGCAGGGCTTTTTGGCGATTTTATCTAATAGCTGATTCAATCAGCTATTGGATAAAAGTTCCAAAAAGCCCCACCTAAGTGCCTGATCTATATGGCGCTTTGGGTGAGCTGGGTCACACTAATGAGATGCCTCTTCTGGACATGTGCTGAGCTCAGTGCGGGGGTGCTCTGAGTTTAAAGTAAAGCACCGTTTTGGATTTATTTATTTTTTTTACATCTGTAAGCAGCCATAATCCTAACTGTCTCAATTCCCTATACAGATACTGTTTCCATACCTCTCATGGCTATTTGTTTTAGAGGTGTTCAGGTATCGCTGTAATGAGCAGCTTTAGAAAATTGTAAATATTATAAAGAAAGATGATAGTGCAAAATTAATTAACGTACATTTTCCCCTCCTTCCCATTTTTGCTCTTTTTCTTATACACTTTTGAACACAAGAGTCGCTCTTCAGCTGTATATTTAGCCATCAGTTTTCAGATTCTCTGAACAATAAATTGTGGCAGTTAATGACATTTCCCAGGCTATGCATACAATACTTGGCTGTGTTCCATCTTATTAAAATGCAGAGTTATCAAAAGGATATCTACATGTCTGCTGAGATTTATGATAACTCTCAGCAAGCATTTTCACAAAGTTTTTGAAAATCCCATCTCATTTAAAAAAACTGGACTGAACTACGAAAAAGTATTTGCAAATTATTGAAATTATTAGGGTGGTTCAAGACAGGTCATAGCTTTTTCTTGCTCCTTAAAGAGAATTTGTTAACCTTTGCTATTCTTATATATTGTACAGTAGTGATAAATCCAGTTTTAACTTAGGTTTCTATATAATTATTTAGTTGTAATTTGTTACTAGGGGGTTGTAAATATTACTGCCCCCTGGAACTACACATAATCTTATTGAAGGATTTTCAGTATAGGCAATGGCATTAGTTGCATTGTGAAAGATTGCTTGGTAATAGATTTCTGGATAAGATTCACAGACTGAAATGCTATTATCAAAAGTTACAATAATGAATAAAATATTCATAGGAAATGGTTATTCATAAGATAAACCTTGGTTATTTTGAAATATTTGAAAATTCAAACATTTTGGAACTAAAAAAGTTATGATAAATGTTATTTTCTGTGGCAATTGTACACATATTCTGAATAAAGTGGGCATTAGATAAATTTGATTTTGAAATCAAAGCAAATATCATTATTTTGTTCATTTATATACACATTAAGGTTAACTAGTCATTTTTGCGATTCTTTGCCTAACTTCAGTTCAAATAAGTCCAATAAGGCTATATGCTGGCACAATTTGTCTTATTTGCTTACGCATCAGATTGAATTTGAATTTTTTTCAGGCTTCTAAAGCTTTTTATGGTAAAATATTTTCAATCAGTACAATCAAATGCTATTGCTTTTAGAATCTAAATTATATCCTTTGTGCCATCTGGTAGGGACTTCTTTCTCTCTCACACTAAATTCACTGAATGTTGTGGAATCTAATGCAAAGACCATGAATTCTTGCTGAGCAGTTAATGTTAATAGAAATTCTGTGAAACAAAAGAACTATATTAGCCCTAAATCTGGAGGTAGCTAGGTTATGCTGTGTGGCCCTTTAACCAGGTGACAGTGGCAGCTTGCAAATATTAGTGTCATTAAGAAGCTGTCTTTCCATCAGTCTAACTGAAATTCAAGTACTGTATAGGTATAGAGATTTGAACTACCTTCTTTTCCCTTGTCATCTGGGTCAGGTTTGATGGCAAGATACTTGGGTAACATAATATGGGAAATCTGCTTATACTAAATCTGTTATGTGGATTCATAGAATTCATACTTCAAGGCTGACAGTTTAGCACCATTCAAAAACGGTAAATTTATTGAAAGATTGCTTTGCAAGGAATACAATGTTTGGAGATTCAATATAGCTTACATTGGGGGGCATCTACATGATATGCTTACACTGAGGGGCATCTACATAATAGTTGCCTTGTTAGCTCCTCAGTAAAGCGTCTGTGTCTACACATGTGGAGCAGCTATTAAGCCAAAGTAAACTGATTAACTCTGCCATAGGTTAGTACTGCCTGATAGAAGTACTATCCTATGGCAAAGTTATTTGCTCTGCCGCAGCACATGTGTACATGGTGGCAGGACTGGCTGGGGCATGAGGATGCTACCGTTCAGGTACTGCCTGCCAGCTAGCCCTGCACTGTAGCACCCTCATGCCTCAGCCAGCCCATCTGCAGCACACTGAACCTGGTTGGGCCAGCCCTGGGCTGGCAGGCTGACCCCCAGGTTCCCCCACCAGCTAGGGCTGCACTGCCCCAGCTCAACATACTGCAGTCCTGGGTACATGTGTAAACGCTGCATATGGGACCAGTAAACTCTAGTATGAACTGCACCAGAGTTTATGGCAGTGCGCTAATTTAACATGTAGATGCACCCACTGTCTCAGAATTTGAGTTGCACAGGACAGCTTGCAATGCTGTTATATTTCTGTCATTGTGTTTGTTATAGGAAGAGCTCAGGAATTATAGGGAGGAACCTAATCATCACCTTAGCTATTTTAAAACATTCCAGGCTATTCTTATTAAGTGATTTTTGTTATGCATTTCCAGCGGACTATCATAGCAGTGGCCACATTGTTGTTAATGGCTGGAAGATTCACAACACAGCAAAGAACAAATGGTTTGTATGCATGGCAAAAACTCCTGAAGAGAAGCAAGAATGGCTGGAAGCTATTCTGAAAGAAAGAGAAAGAAGAAAAGGTAGGTTAACAAACTTTATTTTGTTTCATTGCAGGGAGGCTGTATTGAACTTTTATTTTCATAAAATATATAGCTAGGTGTCAGGTTTTGATAAGGTGTACTTATGGCATTGTGTCAAATGGTCTGTGGAGATTTTGTTAACTAATGATTTAAAAAAAAGAAAACATCATTTAGGAAAGGAAACTTTGCTGAACATGACAGAATCTAGGTCTACTGATATCTTGTGCTGCTGTGGTAGTCTGAAACCTGCCGTTTTCTTTGGCTTAATAGACCCTGAAGCTGATCATGAGCTGGAATAAACTGGCTCCACTGAGGTCTGTTTCTATTGATTCCATGCTAAGACAAGATACTAATGTCTTTGAAATGATCAGGTTTGCCATGTCTGTCCTTTGTCCACCTGATCCACCATCTGATGCAAATAACTTTCAAATGATGCCTCTAAATGCTCTAGTTTCAGGCTAGTTGTCTTTGCAATATTCTCAGTGGCATACCGTCCGCTGGTATACCTATTCTTCAGGATCCTGCTTTTTTTTTTTTTTTTTTTAGCAAAGGCTATCTTCTAAACGGTAAGACTAGTAAATGTGTATATCCCCACATGCAACCTGTGCCAGAAATAAAGTAGGACACCAACCCTATTCCTTCACCACTTCCTCAGCAAAAATGCTATAGACAGTAACACATAATGGAGTCTTGGGATGAAAGGTAGGATGCACAGGGTAATAGGCTGGGACTGATTTGATTTGTTTTCAAGTCTTGGCTCTTCTACAGATTTCTGATGTGACTTGAGGAAGTTCCTTAAGTATTCTGTTCCTCATATGCAGATTGGGAATAATACTACTTCCTTTCTCTCACCCTTTGCTTCTCTTCTATTTGGATTATGAGATATTCAAGTCCAGGGACTGGCACTTACAGTATATTGTACAGCAGTAGCAGTTGCCCTGTTTGCAACTGGAACATCCAGGTGCTATATAATAAATATTGGTGAAGGAATTTTGCAGACATCTAGGAACTTGGCAATTGAGGAGGTAAGTGAAGAAACTAGTGCAGAAGGCTGGTTCATAAAACTAGAGTGGTCTCTGCTTTTGGTTGAGGGCTGTTTGTACAAATGGTTGGAGAGGTTCTAGTCAATGTGGCCTTATTATCTCAATGCCTGGTTAACATCTAACCAAATTTCCTCAGTCTCCTGACAGCTGTAGGCCAGGGGTGGAAAAGAAGGACATGTGGATAGTGTTTTATGTTGACATAATGTCAATATGTATTATGTACTTTGGTCCTATAAAATTTAGCTGTCAAGCTGCTTTCAGTGAAGATGGGCCTGATTCCCCCCCCCCATGGTGAAGCTCAGATCTAAATGCTGCCTTTACTGAGTTGAACCAAACTCCAGTGTATGCATATCTCATAGCTTTGGGTTTCAGCATGGGACTTTACAATAAAGAGATAATTAAGCTATAACAGGGAAGTAAATAGGGGAACAGGTGAATGAGGCCCCAACTTAGAATCATTGGAAAATTTATATTGTTTTCGCATTTTTAAAACTAGATATTTCCTCAAACATCTGTATAAACACCTCTCTTATGAGGCAGGATGCATTAACTTAATTACAAGCAGGATGTCAAATGACTCACCAACCAAGCAAATATCTCTTAAAATTCAAATATCCCATCTAAAAGTAACTATAAACAATTTCCTATTCACTGTGAATATAAACGCGCTTTAATTCTACGTTTACTTATCTAGATGCAGAGCCAAAACCTGCTCATTTGGATGTGTGCAACTCTTTTGAAATCTATGCAGTGGCATATGCATAACTGAGAATAGCTTGGCCCACTTCATGAAAATCAAGACAGACACAGTCCATTTAATTAGGATATTGGTAGCTACTGTTTAAAGAATTTTGATATGTCTTTCCTATCCCCTGTAGGAGTTAGGATATAACATTATAACTAGAGATTGGTTTATTCCTGCTAATATTCTGTTGATTTTAGTTTTCTGTTAATCATCTTGTTTCAATTAAAAAAAATTAATAAAAGAAATCTCTTTGATTTATCTTTCCCTCACAAACTGTACAATTTACTATAACTGTTGCTTTTCTACTCCATTGGTATTCTGTTAAACAGAACAATTTGGAATATATTTCATGATCCTGCTTATGGTTTTATATGATCCTATAAAACCATAATTAGGCAAACATCTCACTGACTTCCTTAAAAGTTTTATCCAATAAGGTGTTTATGATATGATGCTTTCCTTTCTGGAGGGACACTGATTACATTGCCATCAGGACATTCAACCTGAATTTGACCCGTGGAAGTAGTCATATAGTACATATAGGCCAGGTACAAACTTTACGTATAAACCAGCGTAAGTGATTGGAAACTGTTATATACCTGCAACAGAACAGATGTTTTGGGCACATAGACTGGTTTAAAGATGGTGGAAGCTGGTCTAAGATAGACCTGGATTGATGAGGTATCAGACTTAGTTGGTTTAGGTTAGACTAGTCTATTGAAATTTTGTATCAGGTCCCCTATTGATTCATGTTGGGTCACCATCCACTGGCATCCCAGGCTGCATTGCAGGCTCCCTCTAGTCTCCTCTTGCAGGGAAGCCTGCTGGAATTTTGCTAGGCTCTGCTGCACTGGCTGAGCACACGGTGGGCCCCTCCCTCAGGCTGTCATAGAGCCAGCCAGCAAATCTTCTGTCCTTAGCTCCATTTTACACAATGTCCCTAGGTGTGCGGGGTAGGGGGGGAGGTGCTCCACAAAAGGAAGGATCAGGCCCCTCAGGGCTCCAAGGAACTGCAGGTGGCAGCAGCAGGCACCTGGTGCAATTCCTTCTAGTGTGCTGGACACTGCTGAGAGCAACTGAATGCAGCCAAGAAGCAGGCATCCCTGATTGGCTGCCAGGCACATCTTCCCAACCCCCTTTCAGGAGAACCCCAGAATGGGTCACTATAGTACCTCCCCCCTACACTGCTAGCTGGGCTGCCTGGCATGCCATGGTGACCCACTCTGGGGCTCTACTAGAAGGGGATTGAGGGCATGTGCCTTCCAGCTGATCATGGGTGGCCTGGCTTCTCCATAGAAGGAAGGATTGGGCCCCTCAAAGCTCTAGCAAGCAGCAGGTACCTGGCATGATTGCAGGAATTGTGTTGGGCACCTGCTGCCACTTCATGCAGTTTGCTGGAGCTCTGAGGGACCCAATCCTTCCTTCTACAGAGCAGTTGGGCCATCCTTGATTGGTTGCTGGGCACACACCGCTAACCCCCTTCGAGGAGAGCCTCAGAGTGGATCACCATGGCATACTGGGCAGCCCGGCTGGCAGTGATGGGGGGAACATACCATGGTGACCCACTCTGGGGCTCTCCTGGAAGGGGGTTAGGGGTGTGTGCCCAGCAACCAATTAGGGGTGGTCCAGCTGCTCTGTAGAAGGAAGGATGTAGGGGCATGTGCTTGGCAGCCAAATCAGGGGTGGCGTCCACTCAGCTGAATTTGGCTGCTCTTGGCAGTCTCTGGCATGCTGGAAGGTGTGCAGGAGCATCCCCAACCTGATGGCCTTGGTTAGTGCAGACAGCCTTTGTGCCCTCCTTCCTCCCCCACCCCCCGCCCGGTGAACATGTGTTCTGTTCACTCCCGGACTAGCCTAGTCCACTTGGAGAAGCCCATGTAAATTAGTTTGAATTTGCCTCAGGCTTTTTTAAATGCCTGTACTTAGTCAAGCTGGATTAGTACAGAAAAGATTTGTTACAAGTAGGAGAAAAATATGGAACTGCTTGAACTGAGAGAATGCTAATGTTTTGGGGTGGTGAACCACTCTTCTAATCTCTTTTAACTTCTCTTCTAAACAGAAGGCATATGTTTTGGCAGTGGCAGTTCTTCCAAAATAGATAGGTTGAAATGCTATATTAAATGTACCTGAGTGAAATGTACTGAGGGAAACTCAGCCTATATTTATAACTGAAATCCACACAAAAGTTGCTGTTGAAATATTGGATTTACTGTAGATGTATTTCTCAAATTTGAGAGATGGACTAGGACAATTTTGTATATCTGTATATTTCTGGTGCTATGAAAACTCAGATTTTATCAGAAAAAATAGACAAAAAAGATTTTTCACTAGTTTTTGTTGTCTTTATGCAACCACCTAAGGAAGTCATTGAGATATTTTAGTTGTTTTTAGTGCTTTAATAAGAAGGTATATTTAATGCTTTATGTATGTATTTTACCTGATTAAAAGAATGAAGCCAACTGCTTAAAGTACAGTGCATCCAGATCCTATACATTCTTAGAACAGTGGTTTGGTTATGTTCTATTCTGTTGCAAATCAGTGTACTAGTATTGGTTAAGCTATTTGTCTTGTATTAACAATATCAGGTGAATGTGTCTCTTTCTATCTGTGTTAAATACTATATTTCATTGGAGACCAACCTTTTTGGCAGGCATACTACAAATTAGCCCTGAACTCAACATAAGTGCCATTCTGACCCCCCTTTCGCTACCTAAACAAACACCCCTGCTTTCTGCTCCCTGCCCCGCCCCGTGTCCCCACCTCCTCTCTGTGCACCCTGCCTGAACTGCTACTCTTGTGGCACATATGCCACATGTTGTCTATAACTGCTGTATTTTTCTCACAAAAGTTACCTTTATCTTATGTGTATTTGCAGAATTAATAAAATTTTAAGTAGCAACTTCTTATTCTTATTGAAGATTTCCATTTATTATTTTTAAACTTGAAAAAATAGATAAATTAAGAATTTTTCTCTAAAATAAACAAAAAAATGCACAGATTTATGTTTTTAAATAACATTTGCAACTCTTTCTAGATAAAGGAGATTGACTGTAGATCTCCAGTGTTCCTTAGGAGCACAAAACTTCATAAGTAGCCTAAAAGTAATTCAGGGAAAACTATATTTGGAGTAATAAAATCTCTCTTATTCAGTAATAGTTGTAATATGCTGAAAATAGAAGCAGAAAAACAAGGAGAACGATTAACAAATCACAAACTGAAAAGCTTGTATAATTCCTAACCCCACTCTACCACCCTCTGAAGTCTTCTGAAGTGAATAAAAATCAAAGCACCAATTTCCATGTGTAGAATTGAACTAATTTAAACTTACCTGGGCATAGTAAAGGGGTGTTTCATTTAATTAGTTAATATCTGTAGGTGGGTTTTTTTTTTTAAAGTACTGAGTGTGTAGTTACAAATCATTTTATGACCGAATAAAAGGTGAAAAGTAATTCTTTCTCCGAAACTTGAAGGAGAAATACTGCATATGCTCATTTGAGGTAAATTGAAATCATAACATTAATGTTCCTTATTGTGATATTAACCTAAGAGTAGGGGTAAGTATGGTCAAGAAATACCATTCATTGCCCTTCTATAATAAGGAATTTATAGATAACTTGCTATAAATATTTTAAGAGGATTAAAAGTTACTGTTAGTAAAGTGAAGTGCTGTCCAAAACTATTTAATGTGTCCAGTTGGTGACTCCTTTTTCACTAAGATATTGATTTCTTAATGCTTATTAGTTTATAGATGCAGTTTGAAAAATAATGACAATAACTGGGAAATTTATATAACTGACAGAATATTTTTGGCAGGTTTAAAACTGGGCATGGAACAAGATACTTGGGTGATGATCTCAGAGCAGGGAGAGAGACTCTACAAAATGATGTGCAAACAAGGGAATCTGATCAAAGACAGGAAAAGAAAACTAACCACTTTCCCAAAGTGCTTTCTTGGAAGGTACAGTATGTTTTTTATAACTGATTTTAACCTACTAGAAATTTATTTTAATTTCTTATGTCACTATATACAAACTGTTGTTTATTAAATAAAATTCACAGGAGCTTGCTCACATGCCTAATTTTATTCCTGAACTGAGCCAATATTTAACGCAATCTTACTGAAATGTATAGGTATAATCTTACTCCAAAGTTGAATTTCTTTGGAAAATGGCTATAACATATTGTTAAACACAAGGCTGCCTCAGATTAATTGTTTTACTTTTTGAAGTTAGAATATTTTTTCTCCTTATATAGTTTATGATAACTCCAAAATTGCTTATCTGATCTTTTAAGAGCCCCCTTTTGCTTATTTGTTTGGGAGTCCGTTTTTTGTATATTGAGAGCCATTCATGTCTTTATCTTAGGAAAGCCATACATGTTGAGGTTAGTATCTTTAGAATGTGACATAACACTGGTCTCATCATAAAACTGTGAATGCTAGAGGAGGATATAAAATAATGGACCTAGAATGGAAGGTTCTTCTCTTTTCTAGACTCTGTTCTCGTTTCACCCTAAGAAACTTTTGCAGACATCACTTTATCATCTCACACATGAGCATTTAACATTGGCTAGTTATTGGAAGAAGAAAATAAGACTTCAGGTCAAGTCATTTAAATCTCCAAGTCACTTGGTTAGTAAAGATCCTAACCCGGATTAAAGGTCATGGATTAAATATACTGAAAAACTCCACTGACTTTTAATGGTGCTGGGATTTCACCCCATCTTTCTTGTTTCTTACAAAGGAAAAAAACCTTTTGGTAAATTCATTGCTCCATAATATACAAAATAGCCTCTAGTTGTGGGTCCCTTTAATTTTTTTGCCCATCCAAAGATAGTTTAGGATCTAATTTTCTCTACATGTAACCGTAGGAAAATTGGTCCCACTTATTTAAGTTTTCCCAACAAATTATATTTTATATTAGTTGCTAAATTGTTCATCTACTCCAACAAACTGTTAAAAATAGATTTGGATTTGTAATAATGTTTTAAAAATGTGTGTTCTTGCTGATGCTATTATTTGATAGTGCTGTTATAAAAAACCACATCTAAGAAAAATCCAGATTTGTTTCTTAATTAGGGTACTGATGAATTGTCTGTATCTTTCTGAGCTTTCAACAGACTACATTTACTATCTTAAGCCAGTTTTGGGTTTGTAGCATGAGGACAGACTTAGTCTATGCATTTTTCAGAAGTAAGGGAAGACATAACTCATTAAATAGTAAAACTCTTTTTGAAGATTGCCTTAGTTACTGAAATGGTAGAGGAGACTATTATATGATAGGTTTTGAAATCTTTTGATTATGATATGCTAAATGTGGAAAGTGGTTTCCTCTCATTTAATGCATGGATTGGAGGGATTTTATTCTTCTTTTAAATGCAAACTTCAGTTCAGTCTCAACTATGAGGCATAATCAACTCCTTTGTCATCTATGTAGGTATAAAGAAATAGGTTCTATTGGTAACATTGCAATGATTGTTGGTTTCCTGTTTAAGATTAGCGCTATAGAAATCATCCCAAATGAGTGCTCATAAAATTATATACCATTTCACACATTTTTTATCTGACTGAAAAAATATTATAGAAATACAGCATAGTAAAATATTTTAGGATCATTTATAGCTCTCTGCTATAATAATGCATTTATAGCTTGTTACCGTTCATCCAATGACTCGGGGCTCATGTAGAACCATAGAAACTTCCAGAACTGACTGAATATAACTTTCCTGTATGTAAAATGGCCCCGGCCTCCCTGGTGAGTAATCCAGCTGTGGCCTCACCAAGGCCAAGTACAATTTGAGGGTGTGAGATCACAATCCTCCTTAGATAGATGCAAGTGATAGCTTCCATTAGGCAGGCATGAATCATTCCTTCCGAAACTAGGTGTAGGTGTAGTGATCTTGTTTTCAACTCTTCAGTAACATCTCGGGACATCATTTTCCCATTGTACTCGGCCTTGGTGAGCATGCAGCTGGATTACTGTGTCCAGTTTTGGGCTCCACAATTCAAAAAGGATGTGGAGAAACTTGAGAGAGTCCAGAGAAGAGCCACACACATGATCAGAAGTCAAGAAAATGGACATTATGATGACAGGCTAAGAGCTATGGGACTTTTCAGCCTAGAAAAGCACAGGCTCCGGGAAGATCTGATGGCCATCTATAAGTTTATAGCAGGTGTCCACCAGGATCTGGGGGTACGTTTGTTCACCAGAGCACCCCAAGGGACAACAAGGTCAAACGGTTATAAACTCCTGCAAGACCGTTGCAGGCGGGACATAAGGAAGAATTTATTTACTGTCCGAGCCCCCAAGGTCTGGAATAGCCTGCCATCAGAGATGGTTCAAGCACCTACTTTGAACACCTTCAAGAGAAAATTGGATGCATATCTTGCTGGGATCCTATGACCCCAGCTGGTCTCCTAACCCTGGGGCAGGGGGCTGGACTTGATGATCTTCCAAGGTCCCTTCCAGCCCTAATGTCTATGAAATAGAGGACTTTAGCCCATTCATTCATCCTGGAGTATTTATTGCTGTCCTAGATGCAAGTTCAGTATAATGTTGGGAGAAACTTTCGTATTTGGACTACAAAAGGAAATGTTTGCCTAGTTAATAGGCTTAAAAATAACATGGGTGTTTATTGCAGGGCACTAAGGTGTGCCTGCTCCTTTAAGGGCTGAAACTGCCTAGAGAGAGGGCCCTAGGAGCCAGGCAGAACCCCCACAGGTACAGGTTGCTGTGATAGCAGGCTAATGAGGGAATGGGGCCATTTTAATGAGGCCGGGGCCATTTTACATACAGGAAAGTTATATTCAGTCAGCTGACCAGAAGGAGTCAGGGCCCTGGGCACATATAAGCCCCAGGGCTGAGGCCAGCAGGGGTTAGTTCTCTGGTAGCTGCCAGGGGAAGGAGCTCCTGCAGAGAAGAACTGCCCAGTGGCCTCCTGATATGCTGCTTACAGGACTAATGCGGCTCCATGAGCTCATCAGGTACCCTGGGCTGTGAGGTACTTAATGCTTGGGGAGAAGTTTGCCTCATTTAAAGAGACAGAATGCATCTTGCACTGTTTGAATTAGGTTATAGCCCAGGGACTCATATTTTGGTTGTTGTCTGTAATCTGGTGGACTAGGCAGAGGCTATTGGGGAGAAGGCCTTATTGGGGCACACTACCATGTAAAGCCCCAGTGCCACCTGTGAGGCATGGGGCTTGGTAAAGGGGAGGCTTTGGAGCCACGTATCTAACCCATAAGGCTTTGGAGTATTGTAAGGCACCTCCTGAGTGTGGACCCAGTAAGGGGTCCAACAACCCACAGAGTTTAGAGGAGTCTGTCAGGACTGTGACCGAGCAGCAACCTGAAGGCAGCCTCCTGATTAATTATTTAAACCAGCAAGACATGGCAGGAAAGATTAGTAGGCCTCCATAGGGTGGAGTTGGCATGGTCACAGGGCATAGGGACATCACAGCTATCCCTGGAGAGGCTGTATCATGACAAGGTTGTTCAAAGTCTTGAGAAAGAGTTAGGTTAATTAATGTTCAGGGTGTAAGTACAAAGGTCAAAGGAACATTATGAATTGTGGGTTTTATTTATCATAAAGTTCTATAGTTAATCTTAGGGATTATCACCTCCTATGTTGAGTATGTAGGCAAATATGTACATATGTATGCAAGCTATGTCTACATTATACGCAAGGTCACGGTGCGGGGTCCTACGGGGTGGCCGTGATCTCCCCAAGGCCCCCTTCCTGTGCCAAGTCGGCCCAAAGGGCACTCTCAATTCTTGCCCGCCACATCTTTGATATTAGAATATGTTAGGGAGACTGCCTTTACATCTCCTTGGACATGGGTTTTGATGTACTCCTAGCCTGTGGGCTCTTGGACCCCTTGCAGGCCCCGTCCTGTAATGGGTGTTTCGGGGCACCCTAGCCTTATGGGCTATGCATGGCTCCAACCACCCCTTTACCATGCCCCAAACCTCACAGATGGAACTGACGTTGTCCAGTCTGGGCCTATTTACAATTTAGCCCCCTTGTCCTCACTGGGCTCTCCACAGGCCCTATTTTCTCACTGCGCCCTCCTGGCACTCGGGTCCTCCATGGCCCTGTCTCGCTCTGTGCCCCCTCTGGCACCTGGGCTCTCTACCACCCTGCAACATGCTGCACCTTCTCTGGCACCTGGGGTCAGTGTACCCCCAAAATGCTTCCCCCTCTCTAGGGCTTCTCAACCACTGCCCCCTCTCTCTGGGGCTTCTCAACTGCTGCCTCTTCTCTCTGGGGCTGGGGTCCCCACGCTACCATGAGCCCCTCATGAGGCCTCCTCCATCTCCTTATAGCCTCACCCGAGCCACCGGTTAAACAGCAAACCAAAACACAAACCCCTAGGCTATAACATAAACTCGAGCTGCCCAGCTATACCAACATCATTCAAGCCACCCCAGGGGTGCTCCATCCCTCACCAGTATCAGGCTGCTGGTGCAGTCAGGCCTCCTCCCTTTGTCTGCTCCGGCAGAGCTCCTTCCCCTTTGGCTGCCAGCAGGGAACTGCCACCCTGGCCTTAGCCCCTGGGGTTTATATGGGAGCCAGACCCTGCCCCTTCTGGTCAGCTGACCTCTGGCAGGTGTGGGCCACTAGCTCCCTCTGGTTTCATAGTTTCATAGTAGCTAGGGTCAGGAGGGACCTGAACAGATCATCTAGCCTGACCCCCTGCCACAGGCAGGGATGAATG